CTAGGACACAAGAGCTGCAGTCTGCATGAGACGAAAAGTAACAGCGAACAATCGGAACTATATATCGTACCTCCTCCACGGAATAAACACTTAAGTCGACACGTACAGGGCAAAATCACGCTGATAATATAATATTCAATAAAACAATTTATTATATAGCGCCATAATAAAAAAAATTATAAAGTAACGGTAGGTACATAAAAAACAAGCTGGGGGCACGCCAATAGCATTCAAAGTAAAATGTGAGAGAAAACAATCAGTGATTCTTGACAGCTTTCAAATTTTAATCTAAAATCTCCCTATTTTAAAAGACTACATTTGAACTTGAGAACTCTGATGACTACTCTTGAACGCTCTCAAAGACTAAAAGCCTTCTTAGAAGAAGTCGGCAGAATGCTCCGAAACTAATCTAAGGAAATTCACATCTCTGTCACAGATGAAAAATTCTTACCTTGGCCCAGGTTCGAACACCAGACCTCCGGCTATATAGCCGTTGGACGACACAAAAAAAACATACGACGCGAATTCGTACAACTGCTCCAACATTTCTTTAACTAATTGCTCGGATCCCCGACGAGTAAAATATGTGACAGGATTCAAACATCAAGATAATAAGAAAAAAAAGCGCGCTTCAAATGACACCAAGTGCACTCCAATCAAACTACGTTTGCTGCAAACACTTCTAATTAGCTACCAGTTAAAATTTGTAAATTCAGAATTCAGTAATATCAATTATTTATTCTTGCGAATTTCACGTCACCGGTAATATAAACTTGTTTATTCCTTCGCTTAAACACACAATAGGACTCCGATCATAAATTTCTAAATTAAATTAAATTGAATTGAATTGAATTTAATTGAATTGAATTGAAATGAATTGAATTGAATTGAATTAAATTGAAATGAATTGAATTGAAATGAAATGATGTATGAAGTGAATTGAATTGAATTGTTATTATTTATATTTTGCATAAAATGCTGATTTAATATTTGTATCGCCTGAATCATTTGTTTGTTTCACTGTACAGGTGGTTATGATGCAATTTTATATCAATTAATTAATTATGGAGGAAACATGAATTATCCGACGATGAAGCAAAGACACGCATTTTCGTTTCATAAAACTTCATATTCTCCTACATAGCGTTTAGGCTAAATGCAACTGCAATATTACTCTCTATTTTTACCTTAGATATTTTGTTTGCCAATATACAGCAAATTAAAACCTGCAATTACCAACTTAAAAAAAACGCAACCTCAAAGAACGAATTGTGGGAAGAGAGAACTCATAAAGAGCGATTGAGACGTCTGCAAGAAATATATCCATTGGTGAAGTCAAAACAAAAGCTATTTCGGTTAAAAATGCGCTTTAACTGCAAAAGAGTTGTGCACAATTTATACTTGTTTCGTATCTGCGAACGTTATCGAGAAAAAATAACACAATGCTGTATATGTAAGTACTTACAGGGTGGTTTGAATTCGTGGCTTACCATTTGAACCTCGGTAACGGTGCGAGCTAGGTTAAATGGAAACAAAGTTGCTCCTTTTTGTGACGAAAAAGGCGTTTTTTGGAATTTTTAAAAATCTTCAGAAGTTCCATAACACGCTGTAGACGCTATAAACTAGGTATATAGGTACGACTTTCTTGTTTCTTATGGACGCCATATTGGATTTTTACGGAACAAAAAAGAAAAATAATGTCGTATCACACTCTATATTATACTTTTACATAAATTTACAAGAAAAATTTTACATTTATTTCACAAACACAAAACAAAAACAAACAAAACATCCACGGGTAACTAGATCCTGCCGAATCAAAATGGCTATGATGGCGATCCATTCAAATGAATTTTTTTTGTCCTCCATCTCATTCCGTAAAAATCCAATATGGCGTCCATAAAACATAAGAACGCCGTAGCCTATAGCTTCTACATCTAGCGCGTTATGGACATTCTGATAACGGATTCAGCTTCTCCGAAAAAAAGCGCCCATAGAAGGTGCTAACGGGAACCATAGGTACATTTCCGACCGATTAAGCTAGGGGAAAATGAAAACGAATCTTGACATTTCCAGTTTTTCGGCGATATCTCAGTGAACTTTCAAAAAATTTAAATGCGTCATTTAACCTAAACTATACCTCTCACCGTTAGGGAGAGATCCCAATAGGCTACGAATTTGCACCATCCTGTACATCATATTAGCACAGATTTAAGTATATTTAAATCTGTGATATTAGGAACGCCCTGCATAGTTATGTTACACACGGAGCCAAGTCAGCATGCAGCAAACTTTAATTTTGAAAATAAAGTAGGTATACCCTTGGCATTTAAAGCCGGTATTTTAACTATGTTGTCGGCTAACGGTGTTGTTAAGGCATATGTGTGATTGCAAAAACATCCAATCACATACCTTAACAACACTGTTAGCTGACAACATAGTTGAGTATGAGAGGTTCCACCCTGTATATGCAACTTACGACGATGCACACATTTTTGAGAGTGGGCAACCACGCAATTTTTAAGAGGGGAAAGCTGCCTGCGCCATCTAAAAAGCACGAATGTGGGTTACGTTTGGCACCTGATCTTGAATGGCGGTCGTGTAATGTTTGTCGTTAATTTGTGTTATTTAATGCAGGTAGTAATTTTTGCATTTCTTTATATCGTATTTGTGTTTTGTATGCCACATTTTATATTTTTTGTGGATTGTTTTTGAAATTTACTTGGTTTAACCGCAATGCAGAATGACATGTTTAATACCGTTATCCTTTTGTTTGTAATCGTTTACGTTTTTGGTGTAATGTTTGCTTAATTTATGTTTATTGATGTTGATTACTTGATCTTGTCCCTGAAGTAACATTCATATAAGGTTTGATCATTTTATTTTAATATGTGGAAATTACCGATTCGTTTGATGTATGTACTGACTTGTTGTTTGTAACTAACCATTTTCTCCGTGAATGAAGCAGTCACGGGGGTGGTAAAAACTGTAGTCAAATTTGAACTACGACACCTAATTCCGTGATTGTCTTCGTCTTTCAACTGTAGGCTCGGAAGCTCCGAACGAGGGGCGACGCCACATATCTTGCAGGGGCGAGATTATGTTAATCAAAACTCTTCAGTTTAGAATCTATGTGCGATAAGTGAGTTACGATTCGTAATTTCCACATACTTCGACTTTAGTTGCATTTGCCGACAAGGCCATGTAATTTTCCATCTTGCTTTTAAAAAAAGGACTTTATTGCACCAAAGATGAGTCACATCCTGTGTATTTCACCCTTATTTAGAATCTTGGTACCTGCTTACCTGACCCATAATTCCCAAAACTTGTTTTGTGATGTTATAATTCTATGTTACGCATTCACATCATTACAAGCAATTAATTTTACAACACAATTTGATATTAATTTGACGGCTGGTTTTTTTATTGGTAAGCTCTTTTTTTCCCAGCCTATTTCTATTTTTATTCGGTGAACTACCATTTTCAAAGTTTATTTTCGCAATGTAATTTATTTCGACCTTAATTTCCGAGCTTTGACAATCATAATAATTACGATCATTATTAAACAAACTTTTCACAATTTCAGTGTTCTATTTTACGTTCCTTCCCTACTGTGCTTCAGGTCAAAGCGTTGTCTACAAATAACGTAAGGGGGTCCTGTCTTAGGTGTTTGATCACGTACCACTTTTCAAATTTAAGCGGGATCTTTTTTAGTTTTGGAGGGAATAGTCATTCGGGTGGCCATTTTTAAACGTTGCCGGGTTGACTTTATTTCCATGTTCTTGTAGTGTGAAGTTAGCGTAGAACCTGGGGGTTAAGTACACTACAAGTATATAGCTTTATAACACCGGGCGTCTCTGATACAACTAAAACAATGATATGCCTCTGTTCGACTGCGCAATCTTTCATTCCATTACTGTTTAGGTAGAATTATTTTTAAGGGTTGCGATATACCGGTTCCAGTTCTGTGGCTTCAGTAATTTTCTGTTCCGGTTCCGGTTTCAGGTTTTTTTTTCGGTTCTTAACGGTTCCAAAATAAATAAACTCTCACTGTTTTTGATTCATTTTCGGTCAGTAAAATGGTTTATATTTGTGTTATAGTATTTATTAGGGTTAAGTTGGTAGAAATTAATTGGCAACTCTGAATATTTGGATTTTTGGCTTTTGAAATTTTAAGAGAGACAATATAAGACACATTTCCCGCTCGCAAAGCGCAACGTGTTTACTCTACCTACAACATAGCGAGAGAGAGAGAGAGAACCGAAAAAATCGGTTCTTTGGCATTAATAATAACGGTACCGGTATTGGTTCCGGTTATCATAATTTCTCAAATAATATGGTTTCGGTTCCAAGTGAAGGGCTTATCAATGCCATCGGTTACGGTTCCGGTTCAAACCCCTGACCGTATCTAACTGTAAATGAAAGAAGACTAAATCACGTGGGTCCAAGAGAGATGGGTCATGGGCGAATATCACCAGTATCCTGCCTGTACAGTCCGGTTTTGTTGCATTTGTATTTACGAGAAGTGACATACGTTTCTATTGAGTACATTCGTTATCCCACACATCTGATTATTTCGAGGAGGATTATTCGATCTTTCTTTATTGACCAACGCATGGACCTATCAACTCGCGTGATTAGCACTATACGGGGAGATTCACGTAGTCCGTTCATTTGAACTACACACTTTACTTTACGGCCTTAGTTATGTATGTATAAATATGATCGACAACAGTTTCAAAGACTCCCCAGTCACAATTTATGGGTCAATTACTTCAAATGCAAATAATTTCAGAAAAGTGAAAATAAGCTGATATTTAAAAAATCGCGCATGCTCTGAATAAGAGTCACGTTTAGATTTAACAATCAAACAAGTTTAAATTCGTTACCGCGATTTTGTCGTATGATTCCTGGCCCCTACCCCAAACCCCAGCCGCAGTGACGTCACTTTCAGTAGTCATTCAAAAAAGGCGGGGAGGGGACGAAATAAAACGCACAAATTTTTGCAAACAATTTAATAAATTAGTAAGTGCTCAACATTGTTTATAAAGCTGGAGTATTCTTTAGAATAATTCGACTAACACAAGCCTCCTCCTCGTCCTACTCGTTAAAATTCTGTATATACATTACGGTGTGTAAAGTGAGAACCTAATCATTTACGCACTCTGTCCTAAATTACAAGTAAATACAGAGAAAGAGTTAAGTACAATACACCCGAATTAGTATAATAAAGAGCTAAATCGCCAAATAAAAGTAAAGCGAGACTAGAATGAGAAGTTTGACTTAAAATGTTTTACTTTTAATTAGCGACCATCACATAAAATATATACTCAAAATTTCTTTACAATAATAAATTAGGGGTTGACTTTTCGCAATGTAAAAACGGGGGAAACAATCATCAATAATTAAAAAAAAAGGGGGGGGGGTTAAGGTGTATAAGATCTATGGTGATTTTCTACTTATAGCCGTGACTTCTGACTGTCCAACTCGTAAAATAGCACATACGCTTCCCCGCTCACCAACATCTTCGGCGAGATGCTCGAGACCCTAAAAAAAAAGAATGGTCAGTTACGTGATTGGTCATGTCGTCGTGCCCTCACCTCGAATCGTTATATTCGTGCCAAGTTTGCGAGTACGGGTGGCGGCAGTACGCCGTGTAGTGACCGCTGTAGGTGGTGCCGCTGTGGTTGGAGATCGCGTACAAGTTGTATCGGCACTCCGACGGGCTGTTGTCGGCGGCGTAGTTTCGTAGGTCGAGATTCTCGAGGGGGAAATCAATTGTGCTCGATAGTTTTCCACGAAACCGTTCCGTCGGCGAGAACCGTTTGAGATCTGTACCAAATTTAAGGAAAATTCTACCACTTAATCCTTGCACTAGATTAAATTATATGTTCTGAGTCAGACAAAATTTGAGGTTATGTTACGATTTTTATTGTTGTTTTAGAATCTAAGGGATATGGAGAAATTGAAGAATCATAATTTCAAAAATTTTAAAAAAGGAAGAATCTAAAAAATTTTAGGATGGTAAGAATTGGAAATTCGGAAAGAGCATACTCAAAAAGTTGGACAAGCTCTCTTTTCCAAATTTCAGGCCTTACCGCGTGTTTCCATATTCAACAAAAGAAAACACCCAATCAACTTTTGAGTTTTAAAAGGTTTTTCAAAAACGAAAATTTCAAAGTCCAAAGTTTGCCTTCAAAGTCCAAAGTTTTCCTTTGAAATTTGAACGACGATCAATCTACGAAGGCGAGCAAACTTTGGACTTTGAAAAGCGACCAACATTTGAACCCTAAGTTTAAACTTGAGGTCACTCACCCTCCACCCCCCTCACAAATCGCTACTATCTTCATTTGGTAGGGTCGTTAACCTTTAGGCCTCCATTTAGTTTTTTCAAAGTGTAACGCAGTTACTTATTTTCCACTTTTAAGTTCATACCCGAAGTTTGCTGAACACCCGGTATCTAGAAGGATTTTAAGTTCGTTACTAAGAAACCGTAATTTCTGAATTTACTTATTTGCTCTCGGAGACGAGGAGTGAACTTTGTATGGTTTCATTTGGTTTAAAAAAAAATTTGGATACTTTGCGTAAATTTTATTTTAGATTCAGACCGCTTAATTTTGTTTTGGGTTCAGTTTTCCGCATTTCTGCACATTTTGCTTTTTGTTGCACAGAAACTTCTACAGTTCCGTTCCATGGCAAGGTAAGATATATTTTCTATTTCTTCTTTTGTTTTCCTTTGTTTTTTTTTTATTTTAACATTAACGTATATTTTTTTATATTCTTTGTGTACATGAACATTGTTATTGGGAAAACCTGTTATGTTCATAAATAAATAAATAAATAAATAAATAAATATAAGGGGGAGAATATTGTTCGAGTCCGCCCGCCCGTTTATTCGTTCGACCGACTGCCACTACAGTCGTCCGCTCCCAAGATTTAATTACTATATTCTGTAAATTAGTTAACTTTTGTCTTTTAAAGTAGATGGTAATTATTATTCCGCTAATACGGCGTGTGCGAGAACTACCCCAAGTTGAGTTACGATCAACCCTATATCGCTCACAAAAATTAAGTGTTGCTTTTGAAGATATGACACCACAAAAAAGGAGTAATTGACCTTCAAAATGAAATAACACCAGAAAAAATGGGGATATTGACCTTTGATGAACTTAAAAATGGAATGACACCGCAAGAAATAGCCATAGAACTTTGATAACTTTAAAATTGACGTGACACCACAAAACAGGGGTCATTGTCCTCTAGTTATCTTAAAAATGAGAACAAAATGGCGTCTTCAACGGCAAACAACCTTGGGGTTTGAACGGCGACCAACCTTTGAACTTTGAGCGGCAAGCAAACTTTGGACTTTAAATGTCGATCAAATTTTGGACTTTGAACTTCCTCGTCAGGAGAGCTAGATGACATTGAGGGCACCTGAATTTAGCCTTATGGAATTTCATAGAGTTAATTTAGAATATCCCTATATGAGTATCGCTTGGTTTCATCATAAATGCTCAGCATACGCTATTCATGACATATTATGCATGAATGCGGAGGGGATTCACCGCCAAGTGCCGAACGACCTTTGAACTTCACCTTGACCTACGTGGCACCGCAAAAATGGGGTAGTTGACTAACCTTGAAACTGAAATATGACATCACAAAAGAATGGACCTCTGAGAATCTATATCTTTGTGACTCCATTGTCGAGGCAAAATCGTCCATTATAATTTTAAAAACAATTGAAACGTTTTTATTAGCTTATCTATCACTGCAGCATTTTCTCTATTGTACAAATTTTTTTTGGTATGGTATCTAAAATTATCAAGTGTGCTAGCAATTCTACGCACTTTTTTTTCGTGTGTTCTTTGTGATCATAATACAAACGCACTGCAACATCATACAGGCAATGATAATCGACACCGTAATTCCGTGTAAAAAAACACATGCCTATTAGCATTTTAACACACAAGACTACTAAGAATTCAAAATGTGTCCAAATGTGACTATGTAACGAATGATAAATCTAATTATAAAATGCATTTATTAACGCACGTTAAATGGCGGGAACGTCAACTGAAAAAACCGTACATCGTGTTTAGGGCGAATACTTTTAGTTAGAATGTATCCAACGCGTATCATCTTTTGGTCTTGGAACGATCTCTACACCAGATGTACAAAAATTACATTTTTTTCAAAATTAGAAAAATAGAACAAGGACACATTTTCAATAACAGGAGTCTTGAGTGCCCACCAACCCAGAATTTTTTTGGGATAGCTCGAAATCAAACATTTTGGAACCGAATCAATTTTAATTATTAAAACAATAGAAATGTCTATTGTATCAACCAGCACATCACATGTTTTTATTTCCATGTTCCAAGATACCAACAGTATAGTAACACTGATCCGGCTCACTTTGACCTTGAGTTCTGCGCATGAACCAAGTGAATGTCACTGAAGGTCATCGTGGTTGTTGTCTAAACTAAATACCCACCTAAGGTTAAAGGTGGGGTTCTTTCCTGAACTAATGTCACCTTCAGTAGACTTTTAGTTTAGATAACAATCACGATCGAATTGAGTTTAGACAACAACCACAATGACCATCAGAGACATTCACTTGGTGCATGTGCAGTAGTTCAAATGACCCTTGGAGGTAAACCCAAGATCAAAGTGAGTCCGAATCGGTGTTACCATACTACCCACATACCAAAGATGAGCAGTGGGAATTTTTTTAACCTCGTTTAAGGGTACGTTTATTACAAAATCCAAAAGGATATACCCATTAACCTAGGCAAAGCTTTTCTATGTGTAATGATTGGCAAGAAAAAGTTAAAGAGAAGAAATGTAAATTTTTCGATTGGATTAGTTCAATCTATCTAATTTTTAATTTCATTTTTAAGTACCTGCAATATAATTTAGAAAATGGAAATAAAACGTTATACTCGAATACATTTCTAATTAAATTGACGTACAAAAATCTCCATTTTTGTAAATAAAACCTTTTCGGGGGAAGGTGATAATACACCGTTCATTCAGTGGCTTGTTGCAGAAGCAGAAGAAAAGTTGGCAGGTGCAAAGTACTAGTACTTGCAGAAAGCGATTTGAGAATTTTTAATTTCATTCCCCGATTATAGTTTTATATGTCATGTTTGAAGTAACGTTACTTAGCAACAACCTTTAAATTTCTGATGAAGGTTATAATAAAAAGTATAAAATAAAAAGGATACGTATAACCAAAATCTTCGGAAACTTCTGAATTGTGAACGATTTGGTGCACTTCCTCCTCTCCTTGCACTTCGAGCAGGTCTGTGAACAATCGCACATAAAAAAAATAGTATCCAATTCGCAAGTGACTTACACCTACAGGCTTTTCGTCGCCGTCGAGCGTCTCCTCCCTGGTGAAGTGATCGAGGCACTGCTGGAGGCGCAACGAGCCGGAAGGTCGCTGCGGTATCGAAAGGGACAGGTCCCAGAAGGGATCGAACGTCACGGAGCAGTGGCCGCAGTGCGTGCACTTCAGGGTCGACTTCAGCTGACCGACGAAGATGTCGACGACCTTCGAATTGTCCATTCGGAGATAGCGCTGCCACGATTCGTACGCCTTCTCTCCGTCGCTCAGCTTCTCGTCGATCTCAGTAAGGATCGGCGCGGGTTTCGTCGTCACGCGGTTAACGTCCTCGTGTAGACCCTCGAGAAGGTAGCGCAGGAACTCCTGCGCGTCCTGCTGCGAGTACCCCATGAACCTCGGCGCGAACCTTTGAATTTGCGATTTCAACGTCAAGGTGTTGACCACGCGATCCGATGCTTCGTCCGACCACAGCTCCTTGATCACTTGCGAGAATGCTAAAAATGAATGTCGATAAGTGAGGTTATGGCGCGACCGTACCTAACCTTTAATTAACGCCCCTTTCATACTTGAGATGCTCGTATTAATGTCGGACGAGTAACCGTCGTTTTTGACATATTCGAGTAATAGTCTAGTATTCGATAGGCACTGTATCACTGAGTTCATAAAACATGTGTTGCCAATGTTTTTCAGTCCATTCAATCCCAACACAGCGACCGGACTATTTCTGCCTTCGCGTTCTAACGAGTTCCGATGGTAGTTATTCGATCCGGCTATGCTATTCGAGGTGCTCGGCAGTGTCGTGCTTTGAGAGAGAGCTCGGTTGAGTCGTGGCGATGTTGTCAGATCCTTGAAATAAAGAGGAGCATTCAAAGAAATTTGCAAACACTGGAAAGAACGGCTGTTTTTAGTATGCTGCATGCTACAGAAACAGAATCTCTGATTATGGTCTTAGAAATGTACTAGAGCAAAATTTCAATGTTAACTGAGAAGGGGGGAGGGGTAAAGAAAATCGACTATAAAAAAAACCTATTCAGTCAGAAAAAATCAGATACTAACATCAGTAGAGAATTAAAAATCCAATTTAATTTTTCACTTTTTTTTGTCAGGATTTTTTAAAAATTTTTTATGAATTTTTTAATTGTTTCGAACTTGCGCCTGATTTGTCCAGGGCGGAAATAAAACCAAATTTAAATTTTTAGAAATGTCTTTTTCATTTTTTTGACATTTTTATAATTCCATTCATTTTTTGAATTTTTTCTGTTTTCGCCATAACTTTCTTAATTTGTATCATTGTGGCAACTTTTTGTTTATAGTTGCCACCCGTGAAAAATAACTTTTTGTGTTATATATTTTTTAAAATTCGTATTTAGCAGATTCTTTAACTTGGATTCTAAATTTTTTATTTTTCGGATTAAAAAAATTTAATTCTTTCGTCTAGAATGAGGTAATTATTCAACTGTTTGATTTCTTATGAATTTTCTACAATTCCAAATTTACATTTTTTTTCTTTTTCTAAATTTTCTGATCAGTTCAGATTTGAAAAAAATGTTTTTTTTTCAAGAACGAAAAATAGGAGACTTTTTCCATGAACCGGATAATCGGAAGCCGTTATCGTACGCATTCGACATAATTATCCTAGAGGGAAACAAGTACCATTTTTGGTGTGCACCAAAAATTCAAATTCAAATTAAATCAAATTCAAATTAATTCACGTTAGTTCAAATTAATTCGCATTAATTCAAATTAATTCACAGTAATTCAAATTAATTCACGTTAATTCAAATTAATTCACGGTAATTCAAGTGAATTCATATATACGTTAAGCCAAATTAATATACGTTAATTCAAATTAATTCACATTAGTTCAAATGAATTCGCATTAATTCAAATTAATTCACGTTAATTCAAATTAATTCACGTTAATTCAAATTAATTCACGTTAATTCAAATTAATTCACGGTAATTCAAGTGAATTCACATATACGATAAGCCAAATTAATATACGTTCATTGAAATTAATTCACGTTCATTGAAATTAATTCACGTTAATTCAAATTAATTCATGTTTATTCAAATTAATTCGCGTTTATTCAAATTAATTCACGTTAGTTCAAATTAATTCGCGTTAATTCAAATGAATTCACGTTAATTCAAATTAATTCACGTTAATTCAAATTAATTCAAAGGGGTGTACACCAAAAATTCAAAGTTCTTTCCCCCTAGCAATTATACCTATAATAAAATTCAACACATTCAATGCATGTTTCTGTCTTGTATAAGTAGCCCTTATACAGGGTGTAGCACCTAAAACTCCCTGGGATCATAATCCCTATACCATTACCGCAAACGGTGGGAGTTGAGTTCGGACTGGCTAAGTGTGCGGATGTGCTTAGCGAGCTCTGTGTCTACTTTAGTAAAGAACTCGTTAGCTTTTGAACGCGAGGCGGGTCCAGGCTTAATTCAAACTTACATTCGAAGCCCAAGCGGAATTTGTCTTTATCAAGACACGAATAACGCGCGAGGAGTAAATTAAATTGTGAGGAGAGTGAAGAAATCAAATCAACAGGACAACGAAGGTGAAAATCTAAGTACTAGAATTAAGGTTAAAATTCAATTAAACTAAAGGGGAAAAGAGGGGAGGCAGATCACGCGGGGCAATTAACCCGGTAAACCGGTGTTCTAAACCCTCGTCTAAACCATAAACGCATCATAGAACCGCGAGAAATAATGGGGACCACAGGTCACTGCTACATAGCATACAGACTAGGGAGGGAGTAGCAATGTCCGGAACCACTACTGCAGCGTGTTGATGGCAATAAACATGATAGGGGAGGTAGATGAAGAGGAGAGCAATACCGGAGACCAAGGGTGCTGGGGGAGTACGAGGAAGCGAGAAGAGCCGCGGTCCCAAACCAAACGAATATAGTCTACGCACGGTATCCGGGAGGAGTGCCACGCCGAGGAGTGGAAATAACCAGGACGCAGAAGGAGGCAACAGCATGAGGGTAGCCACGTACAAAGTGCCCAGATAAAAGGGAGCTAATGGTCGACGAATTAAGAAAACAGGAAATAGAGATAGAAGGAAAGGACAGGGAGCAAAGCGTGAGAACTGAATGGTGGGGGATGTGAAACTCCTGACCAGAGAGAAGAAAAGAAAAAAGTAAAGAACGGGGCAGAACAAGATCAGGAACAGAAAGGGGGACGGGAGTCCATCTTGGAACAGGATCGCCGAAACGCTCACGGAAGCGGCAGGCAAAACACTTGGGGGGGGGGGGGGGATATAAAACGCCATGTCAGAGAAAATTAACCATTTCTGTAGAAATGTCGGAAAAAGCATTTCAGAAACTTAAAAATATTTTCCAGGTTTTTCTCGTGGCCGTTTTAGTAATAACTTTTTTTTCCGTAAGCCTCTACGATGGACAGGTTCCCAGATACAGTACCTCGCATTCTTATTTGACCACCCTGTACATTTTATTAATTAACTTGTCAACCACCATAACGTGCACTTATGTCCCTACAACCAACTAATTTTGCTATAAAGTTTAATAGTAATTTGTGGGCTGGTTTTTTCTTGGTTAGTTCTTTTTTCCCAGCCTATTTTTATATTTGTACTCGGTGAACTACAATTTTCTAAATTTAATCTTCAGTTCAGTTCAGTTAGTTTGGGAGGGAAAGTTTTGAATTTAAATCTTAGAGTTGCGCAGTCACTCTGGACTGTCCTGGGTGCGTCACAACATAAAATAAAGTTTTAAAACTAAAAGGATGAACATGGTAATTCAGATACAAAAGAATCCTCCAAAACGTTTTTATTATGTGTCAAATAAATTCCTACTAGTTTTCTTGTTATAATTTGATATTTGCAACGTATAATCCGTATTTCTCTCATTCAGAGCAAATTTGTGGTTTTAATATTACACAATGTGCATTGAACTTTGCCATAAACGCAGAACATAGAATCAATATTTGATGAAAACAGCTTTCATATTATATTTGGAAATAATAAACTCGTGAAGGACCCTTCACTGAAAACCGTCCGTGATTGGAGAACTGTAAAATTTAAAAAAACAAACAAATATCGGCGTCTCATATTTTATTGAATCGTCCTCGCCTCACCAAGCAAATATGGCAAAAATCACTACAAGGAGCAGACGTAGTTATATTGTAATGAAATGAAAATCTGATGGTTATAAATTTCGGATTCAAAACCAACCATACTCTTCCTACTTGAGACAATATCACTTAAATTGTATCTTACATGAACAGCCAATATAACTGGTTCCCTTTAGGTAAATTATGGACTTTATGCATGAACTAACATCACGAGACGAGGATTGACCTATACATAAGCAATATTGGAAGATATTCTGTTGGACAATAAATGATTATTATTATTATTATTATTAAATATGGGAATAAGTTGTCATTAATAAGAATAACTGCATGATTAGTGATGATATTTTCAGAAGTTCACCTTTGACACAATGAGGACCGCCTAAAGGAGAACCGCTCTTGCCAAAAAACTCGTTACACGATTTTTTAGGAACTTGAGAAGTTTGTGGGAGGCAACCATAACTCGAATTAGTTCAGATGAGGTTACAGCTATTAAATTGTTCGCTCATTGTAAATTAAATAACATAAGAATGGAAGTTTTTTTTTCTACTACTACTTTAGAATCCCGTCATACTTGCTTTATTTGTAACAACAGAATGTCTACTGAAGTGGAATAATTTCATTCCAACTCAAGAGCACATGTAGCGACATCTATTATAGGACCTTCTAAATGACAAACTGTCAACATTTTAATTAAGCTGGAGCGAGCACAAATTAATTTTGAATTTTCAGTACCTGCAGCGTACATTTACCGAATGTGTACTTTAACCAGTAATAATAGTATGTAGATGTACATTTTCGATTACTAAATACAAATGCAAATTCATCAAGCAACTTTGACATTTCTTTCGCATGCGCAGTGTATGGATCGGCCGTGGTCATTTAGACAAACGTCATTCAAATATTAAACAGGGATCTGTTATACCAACCCATCGCACACAAACCTATTAACATCATAGAACAACAAACTTAGAATGGAAACTGTAATGTAATGTAAAAATGACGCGCCATCTCGTGTATGTTCTCAGCAGCTTTTTGCGTGAATGGCGCCAAATTTAAATATTAAAATGTAAGCTACGTCCGCATGATACTGAATTTCTCCGGATCTGTAACAATATTGGATTTGACTAGCTGAAACCTAAAAGGTAAATGAATCCAGCCAGTGAAATCCAATTTTGTTTGTTAGAGATCCAAATAAATTCAGTTTAATGCGGATGCACCTCACCAGCCAGGGCCTTCAAAGAGTACAGAGCACTTGTTTTATAAGTAACAACTCCAATTAATCCAATCAAGGAGTTATATTTAATTTAATATGATTTGGCAAAATGACAAAATATACAAGATCAACTTCATGGAACTCTACTGTATGATGCCCTCGAGATCGTTCTAAAAACAAAATATGTAGCAATTTATTACAATTCAATTAGTGCTACCTGCTAAATATAATGTGCGAACTGCCACACGCTTTAAATCTCTTCGTGTTCCAGGTTCTAAAGCGCAGCCAGAAAAAGGACGTTCACAAACCAAAAAGTTTTGTGTAAATTTCTTCCACATTATATTCTAAACCAATTCTTAAAAACTTCGGGCTTCATTTTTGGGAAACGTCTTCACAATTTGTCACACAACATTTACGTTCTCGACTTGTATATGCATAATTCATTGTAATAATGAATAGTAATTATACTTAAAGCACAATAAGCCGTCAATCATAATTCAAAATTCAACTGTCATAATGGCGACCACGCACGAAAGTCACTAGATTTAGTAACTTTAAC